GGTGCGGGGCGCACATCTGGGTGCAGACTTAGGGTTTGAGGTGGACACCTGACATTTTGGAGGTTCAGGGGAGGTGTGGGGTGCACACCTGGGATTTGGGGTGCAGGGCTTAGTGTGGGGGTGCAGATCTTGGGCTCGGCTTAAGCGGCGAGGCCTGGGTGTTAGACCTGGGATTTGGGGGTGCAGGGGAGGCACGAGGGGCAGAACTGGGACTTGGGCTGCAGGGAGGGATTTGGGGTGCAGGGAGGGATTTGGGGTGCAGGGAGTTATTTGGGGTGCAGCCCTGGGGGTGCAGGAGGAGACCTGGGGTGCAGGGAGTTATTTGGGGTGCAGGAAGAGATTTTTTGGGGGCAGCCCTGAGGGTGCGGGAGGGAGGGGAGATTTGGGGTACAGGGGATGATTTGGAGGTGCAGGAGATGATTTGGGGCAGAGCCCTGGGGACACAGGGGGTGATTTGGGTCCCAGCCCTGGGGCTGCAGGTGGAAGATTTGGGGGTGCAGGGGGGCAATTTTGGGGCCCAGCCCTGGGGCTGCCCCGCCCCTCCCACTCGTCCCGCCCCGTCCAGGTGTCCCCACGTGGCAGGTCTGGCCCCGGGCCGGTGTCACCGCCGCTGTCCCCAGTTTCCAGTCCCTGCAGCTGGGCCACGTCAGAGCCCAACCCGCCCCTCCCGCTCCCCCTTCTGCCAGAAACACCCAAAAACCGCCCCCGAAACGATCCCCCCGTGTCCCCCCCTCACCCCCCGCAGGGACAGGGGCCATGACGGAGGTGACCAAGCGCATCCTGGTCACGGGGGGCACCGGCCTGGTGGGCAAGGCCATCGAGAAGGTGGTGGCAGATGGGGAGGGGCGGCCGGACGAGCGCTGGATCTTCGTGTCCTCCCGGGACGCCGACCTGACGTGAGTCGGGATTCCCCCTCGGGATCTCCCCGCAAGCCGCTCTGCTGAACCCCGAAATTTCCCCATCCCAGGACTCAGTTTTTTCTTGTAAACACCCCAGTCTGCCACTGAACCCCGAAATTTACCCATCCCAGGTTGGGTTTTGCCTTGGAAATCCCCCAATCTGACACTGAACCCCAAAATATCCCCATCCCAGGGTTGGGTTTTGCCTTGGAAACCCACCCCTATCTGCCACTGAACCCCAAAATTTCTCCTCCCAGGACTGAGTTTTTCATTGCAAGGGCCCCAATCTGCTCTGTTGACCCCACTGAATCCCAAAATATCCCATCCCAGGATACAGATTTTCCTTGGAATCGCCACAATCTGCTCTGTTGACCCCCCCCCCCCAAAAAAAAACCTCCAAATCTCCCATCCCAGGACTGGGTTTTTCCTTGCAATCCCCACAATCTGCTCTGTTGACCTCACTGAACCCCAAAGTTTCCCATCCCAGGATTGATTTTTTTTTTCTTGTGAACACCCCAATCTGCCATCGAACCCCCAAAGTTTCCCATCCCAGGATTGGGTTTTCCATTGGAACCCCGTCAATGTGCCACAGACCCCTGAAATCTCTCCTCCCAGGACTGACTTCTTCCTTGGAAAGGCCCCAATCTGCTCTGCTGTCCCCTAACAGAACCCCAAAACATCCCATCCCACAATTGGGTTTTTCCTTGAAAAAAGCCCAATCCGCCACCGAACGCCAAAATTTCCCATCCCAGGATTGGGTTTTTCCTTGGAAACGCCCCAAACCTGCTCTGTTGACCTCAGTGAATCCCAAAATCCCCCATTCCAGGAGCAGCTCCGAGACCAAGGCCCTGTTTGAGAGGCACAGGCCCACCCACGTCATCCACTTGGCCGCCATGGTCGGGGGCCTCTTCAAGAACATCCGCTCCAACCTGGATTTCTGGGTGAGCACATGGAAAACCGGCTCTGGGGGGAGGGGAGGGGGTTCCCTGGGGATGTGGGGATGCAGGGATATGGGGGCTGGTCCTGCTTCCAGAGCCAAGAGCTCTGGTTGTTCTGGGAGTTGTTAACGAGTCGTCGCTCGGCGGGCGAAGGGATTTTGGGGAATGCCCACCCCACAATCCCGACAAAACCCTCCTTTCCCAGAGGACCAACATCCACATCAACGACAACGTCCTGCACTCGGCCCACGAGATGGGGGTGGAGAAGGTGGTCTCCTGCCTCTCCACCTGCATCTTCCCGGACAAGACCACCTATCCCATCGACGAGACCATGGTGAGCGCTCCCATCCCCTCCCCGCGGCATTCCAGGGAATTCCCTGCCTGACTCTCCGCGCCCCCCGCCGTGTTCCCAGATCCACAACGGGCCCCCCCACAGCTCCAACTTCGGCTACTCCTACGCCAAGAGGATGATTGACATCCAGAATAGGTGAGGATGGGGACACACACACAGGAGACCCTTCCCAGGGTGGGAGCCCCCCTTGGTTATTGGGTGACGGGAATCCCCGTGGGAGGGTGGGGAGGGTGGATGAGGAAGGAGGGTCGTGCAAAGCTGGCACAGGGTGTCCAGGGAAGTGTTCCGAGGTCAGGTTGGATGGGCCTTGCAGCAACTGGGATAGTGGGAGGTGTCTCCTCGCTCGGTGGTTGGGTGAGATGACCTGGAAGAGTTCCTTTCCAACTCAACCCAACCCATGATTCTGTGCCTGAAATCCATTCCCAGATCCCTACACCCATCCCGTGATCCTGTGACCAAAATCTGTCCCCAAATCCTCAAGACCATCCCATGATTTTACAACCAAAATCCAGTCCCAATCCCCAAACTCACCCCACGATTCTGGGAACAAAATCCATTCCCAAATCCCCAAACCCATCCCATGATGCTATGGCCAAAATCCAGTCCCATTCCCAATCCTATCCCATGACTCCATGACCAAAATCCATTCCCAAATCCATCCCATGATTCTGTGACCAAAATCTGTCCCCAAATCCTCAAGCCCATCCCATGATTTTACAACCAAAATCCATTCCCAATCCCCAAATCCATCCCGTGATTCTGACCAAAATCCCTTCCCAAATTCCCAAATACATCCCATGACTCCATGACCAAAATCCATCCCAAATCCCATCCCGTGATTTTTAGGACCAAAATCCATTCCCAGTCCCCCACAAACCCCAGGATTCTGCGACCAATATTGACCAATCTGTGACCCGTGGGATTCCCGGGATTTAAACGGCACTGGGGTGGAAGTTGGGGGGATACCTGGGATCAGCAGGTGGAGGTGCAGCTGGTTGGGCTCTTCTGGGGCCATCCCAGTCCTTGAGACCCCCATCCCTGCTCCCATCCAGGGGTTATTCGGAGCAGCACGGCCGGCGCTTCACCGCCGTCATCCCCACCAACGTCTTCGGGCCGCACGACAACTTCAACATCGAGGACGGCCACGTCCTGCCAGGCCTCATCCACAAGGTCTACCTGGCCAAACGTGAGCCTGGCAGGACTCCTGGGGTTTGTTTTTTTTTTTGGGGGGGGAGAGGTTTCCTCCTCCCCACCTGCTCCTTGAGGTGGTGATGGACGCGCTCCTTCCTCCTGCAGAGTCCGGCTCCGCCCTGACCGTGTGGGGAACGGGAAAGCCCAGGAGACAGTTCATCTACTCCCTGGTGTGTGGGGCTTGGGGGAGCTGGGAATGGGGCTGGAAAGGCTGGAATGAGACCCCAGAGGAGGCTGAGTCCTCTTGGTTTGTCCTGGGCCATCCTCAGGGTTGGGTTCCCTTGGGATGGGAGGGCAAGCGCAGGAAACAATTCATCTACTACTCCTTGGGATGTGGGGCTTTGGGAAGCTGGGAATGGGGCTGGAAGGGCAAAGCCAGGAGACAGTTCATCATCTCCTCCCTGGGCTGTGGGGCTTTGGGAAGCTGGGAATGGGGCTGGAAGGGCTGGAATGGGTCCCAGAGGGGGCTTAGCCTGCCTGGGCCATCCATGGGATTGGGTTCCCTTGGGATGAGAGGGCAAGCCCAGGAAACAATTCATCTACTACTCCCTGGGGTGTGGGGCTTTGGGAAGTTAGGAATGGGGCTGGCAGGGCTGGAATGGGTCCCAGTGGGGGCTGAGCCTACCTGGCTTGTCCTGGGTCAGGTTCCTCGGGGTGGGAATGCTGGGAACAGCAATGACCCCCTCAATGACAGCATGCTCTCCCACAGGACCTGGCCCGGCTCTTCCTGTGGGTCCTGCGGGAATACGACGAGGTGGAGCCCATCATTTTGTCAGGTGAGCCCCCCCCAGCCTCCCCTCCCACTCCATCCATCCCCTCTCCACGAGGGAACAGCCACGATCCCGCCCTTCTCCGCAGTGGGAGAAGAAGACGAGGTGTCCATCCGGGAGGCAGCAGAGGCCGTGGCCGAGGCCATGGATTTCAGGGGAGAGCTGGTTGTATCCTTCACCTGGGGGACATCCCGTGCTCCAGAGCATTCCACCAGGATGTGGAGGGGTGGGGGGGAAAACCAACCCCAGTTTTCCCTCCTTAATCCCTCCCACCCCAGTTTGACCCCACCAAGGCCGACGGGCAGTTCAAGAAGACGGCCAGTAATGCCAAACTGCGGCGGTACCTGCCCGGCTTCCAGTTCACTCCCTTCAGGAAAGGTGAGCTCCTACCTCATCTGGGTGCTCCATCCTTCGGGATGAGGGACCAGGGTGGTGAAACGCTGGCTCAGGGTGTCCAGGGAAGTGTTCCGAGGTCAGGTTGGATGGGCCTTGCAGCAACTGGGATAGTGGGAGGTGTCTCCTCGCTCGGTGGTTGGGTGAGATGACCTGGAAGAGTTCCTTTCCAAACCCAACCCATTCCATGATTCTATGCCTGAAATCCATTCCCAAATCCCCAAATCAGTCCCATGATCCTGTGACCAAAATCTGTCCCCAAATCCTCAAGCCCATCCCATGATTTTACAACCAAAATCCAGTCCCAATCCCCAAACTCGCCCCATGGTTCTGGGAACAAAATCCATTCCCAAATCCCCAAACCCATCCCATGATGCTATGGCCAAAATCCAGTCCCATTCCCAATCCCATCCCATGATTCCATGACCAAAATCCATTCCCAAATCCATCCCATGATTCTGTGGCCAAAATCTGTCCCCAAATCCTCAAGCCTATCCCATGATTTTACAACCAAAATCCATTCCCAATCTCCAAATCCATCCCATGATTCCATGACCAAAATCCATTCCCAAATCCCATCCCGTTATTTTAGGACCAAAATCCATTCCCAATCTCCAAATCCATCCCATGATTCCATGACCAAAATCCATTCCCAAATCCCATCCCGTTATTTTAGGACCAAAATCCATTCCCAATCCCCCAACCCCATTATTCTGCCACCAAAACCCATTCCCAAATCCAACCCAGGATTCTGTGACCAAAACCACTCCCAAATCCCCAAACCCATCCCGTGATTCCATGACCGAAACCCATTCCCAAACCCCTCCCACGATTTCTCTGACCAAAATCCCTTCCCAAATCCCCACACCCATCCCATTTTACGACCCAAAACCCCATTCCCAATCCCACCTCTCTCCCTCCCCAGCCGTGAAGGAAACCTGTGCCTGGTTCGACGCCAACTACGCCGACGCCAGGAAGTGACGGCCCCGGCATCGCCGGGATCCTCCTCTTCCAACTCAGGGTTGTCCTTTGCTGGGGCAGAGGACGGGGCTGAGGGGGGGTGACAGGGACAATTCCAAAGGAAA